AATTAAAGAAAAAGAATTTTTGAAGTATTTCTGTCCCCCAGGGGACTATAACAGCCAAGCCCCGACATAGCAGTGTTCTAAGTACTGCAAGTGATTTGGGATAAAATAATATTTTATATGAAATTCTACGTTTCAGTTCTAAACCTTATGACTTCACAAATACTTCTTTTTCTTTTTTTTTTTTTTGAGACAGAATTTCGCTCTTGTTGCCCAGCCTGGAGTGCAATGGCGCTATCTCAGTTCACTGCAACCTCTGCTTCCTGGGTTCAAGTGATTCTCCTGCCTCAGCCTCCCCAGTAGCTGGGATTACAGGTGTGCGCCACCGCGCCCGACTAATTTTGTATTTTTGGTAGAGACAGGGTTTCACCACGTTGGCCAGGCTGGTCTCCAACTCCTGACCTCAGGTGATCTGCCCATGTTGGCCTCCCAAAGTGTTGGAATTACAGGCGTGAGCACATGGCCCACAAATATTTCTTTTGAAAATGAACCCAAATATAAAACTCAATATGCATAGAGCAGGCACAGACATCTGCAAAATGTTACTCGTGAGGATGAACATATACATACTTACACACAAAGCAATCAATCATGACAACAGAGACACAACCAAATCTAAGTTAACTGTTGAAGAAAGGTAAAGATGGTTTTATTAGCTTCATTAAACTAGTAACTGCAACTGCAGTTATCCTCAGAATTCTAGGGGATTGGTTCCAGGACCACCTGTGGATGGATACCAAAGTCTATGCAGACTCAAGTCCCACACCCCTACAGTCAGCCTTCTATACAGATTTCACATCCTCAAATAATTTTTTTTTTTTTTTTGAGACAAAGACTTGCTCTGTAGCGCAGGCTGCAGTGCCGTGTGCAATCACGGCTCACTGCAGCCTCCATCTCCCAACTCAAGCAATCTTCCTACCTCAGCCTCCCAAGTAGCTGGGACTACAGGTACACGCCACCGTGCCTGGCTAATTTTTGTATTTTTAGTAGTGACGGGGTTTCACCATGCTGCCCAGGCTGGTCTTGAACTCCTGGGCTGAAGATATGCCTACCTTAGCCTTCCAAAGTGCTGGGATTACAGGCAGAATACTGTATTTTCAGTCCGTGTTTGGTCACGGATGTGGAACCTGCCAATATAGAGGGCCGCCCATATTTATTGGAAAAAAAAAAATCATCCACATATGTGGATGCATGGAGTCCAAACTCTTGTTGTTCAAGGGTCAACTGTACATTGTTTTCCCAACTGTGCCTGCTAAATCTCAAAATGAAAAAGAACTTAAAATGTGACTTACAGGAACAGGAACTGTAGTAGGAACAGGAATATTCTGACTGTACATGTGCATAGGAACTGGGATATACACAGGCACAGGGATAGGCACTGGAACATATTCTGTCTTCCAAGTATCATCTAAAAACACAAAACATATTTAAGGAGCAACGTTAACTAACACTTATATACAGGTGTTTAATGTTAAAATAATTTGATCAAGAAAAATTTAACTACCTCAGTAGTTAAATTTAACTACCTCAGAATTTAGAATTTAGAATTTCTCTAAATTCCCAGTTTTTACAAGTTAGGTAACTTAAAAGAAAGCAGCAGCTGTTCTAACTTACAGAAAATACAAATAGAATTCAGGGATTTTTTTTAAAGAAAGAAAACATCCTTTAAAAACACTATATAGTTCCAGATACCCTACCATACTCTCCTCAACAACCTCCCCAAAGACTTATTTAATCAAATAATTAGAATACAGATAACACTGTGAATTTGATAAAAAATACATGTTTGAATAATTTCATCTCATTCTGACAGGAAGGAAACAGAATCGTTACCATTACGAATCACAGGGAAAGAGGAAATTTTTGATAAAGTATTTTTTCACTTTGACATAATTTGTATTCTAGGCCTTTATCAGAGATTGATCATAATGATTTAAAATGAGATGCTGTATTCTCCAGGTAATATCTAAAATTAGATAAGCAAAATCAATAGAAAATGACAAATTGACCAAATGAATCTATCCTGGAGGCTGTTCCATTCAAGAAAAGCATGTAAAGATGAAGGTATGGGGAAGTATTTAAGTCACATTGTCCTAAGTTACCTGTCTGACAAGATTTGGTCTGCATGTGAGGTTTACAGTAAGTAGCTTTTGTCATTGTTAAAGGTTTGCAAAGAACTGCTTTGTTCTTCATCTCTTTGTTAGGTGTTGGAGAAGGGGGTGGTGCTGAACCCTATGGAGAAGCAAAGAGAAACAGTTTTATTTTTATGTCTAATTTTCAGTACTTCCTGGTGTCAATGAAGGATTTTCAGTACTAAGAAGGGAACACACAAAAGCAGAAGAGGATAACCAAATTATGCTATTATCACTATGTTCACCACACTCTTAATCTATAAGGATCAATATGAATCTATCCTAACTACTAGCAAAGTGGTAGCAATTATTCATTCTATAGATTTATATCACCTTCAAAGGATACCATTAGAATGATTAAAAAAAAAAAAAAAAAAAAGACAATCTAACTTTTAAGTACAAAATCAAGGTTGCAAACCTGAACTATGAAAACACTTAGGCACTTTTAAATTTATTTCAGAAAAAGAAGATCTTACAGTTATTATGGCTCTCTGATACTCTAGCTCCCTCTGCTGGATAAATGGCATCAAATATGATTATAAATTTGAAAAGAAAAACGAAAACAATTACCAAAGATAACCTCAAACTTTAAGTTGTATATTTCCTGTGGCCCAGCAATGGCAATTTCTGAAACCTATTCTACAGATGCACTCTCTCAGACATTTCGCACTAAGTTCACCGTAGCATGATTTGCATTGCAAACAAAACAAAACCCCACATAAATAAAATCTGAAATAAGCGGAAGATAAGAGCATAAGGGAGGAAAGGTAAGGTACTCTCCACATCACCTATTGATATGGAGAAAATGTAGGTACATAATTCAGAATAGTTGTGTTCTATACAGTTGCCCCAAACAATGACTACTGAACTGCTGCTTCAATGGGAAATACAAGATTAGGTTCCTGTGAGCCTCTGGTCACAATATTTTCATCAACTGATCAATACATAATTTTGTTAAAGATACCTCATACAGTATTTTTTTATAATAAAACAATATTTCATTAGAGCATTTTTGTGTAATACACTACTGAGATCAACTCAAACACAGTACAAATACAGCACACGCACACTGTACAGCACTCACACAGCACACGCACACTGTACAGTTCGCCACACACATACTGTACAGTGATCACATAAACACTGTGTTTACGTGTGTACATAAACAACACACACTGTTTACTGTGCCTTTATGCAAATAAAGTCCTAAAAAATATAAACAAAAATCACGCAGTCAAAGTTTCACAAAAGCTGGCCGGGTGCACTGGTTCACATGTGTAATCCCAGAACTTTGGGAGGCCGAGACAGGCGGATCACCTAAGGTCAAGAGTTTGAGACCAGCCTGGCCAACATGGTGAAACCCCATCTCTACTAAAAAGTAAAAATATAAATAAATAAATAAATAACTAGCCAGACATGGTGGTGCCCACCTCTAGTCCCAGCTACTCTAGAGGCTGAGGCAAGAGAATCGCCTGACCCTGGGAGGCGGAGGTTGCAATGAGCCAAGATCATCCCACAGAACTCTAGCCTGGATGACAGAGTTAGACTTTGTCTCAAGAACAAAGCAAAAACAAAACAAAACATTAACAAAATTTCACTGTGGATGGAGCTGCAGGATGTGTGATGAGACACTGAACTGTGTGGTCTGACCTCTCAACCTTGGTGTGTCCCATGAAAACCGAGGTTTTAGAACTGGCTCTTGTGCCTTGTTGACAGTGTCAGTGATTTTCTTACCCAAACTGGCTCCAAAAATTGTGTCAGCCTTGGCAGCTTAGCTTTTAACCTCAGATCCTTTTGCATCTCAAGTCATGTTCTCAGTAGCACTTAAACTTGAGACTGTGCTCAAGCATAGGGCCATTTTTCTGTTTTATTGACAATTTTTCCCAAGACAGAATTCCATTCTGATATCACCTTCCTCCATGTTGCCAAAGCCTTCTATGCTCATTTGCTGTGTGATGCACATTGTGTTTTTAACATGGTTCTTTATAATTTCTGTAACACCTTTTCAGTTTGATCAAACATTTTCCCAGCAGTTATCAACAGCCTGCTTGATACCGCCCCCAGGTTGTGTGGCCATAATCAAGAAGACGCATATTGTGACTGCTTCCAGGAGTCTATCCATGGTGGTTTCCTTGTTGGCATCGAGAGCCTCACAAGCCTTGTTACAAAGCTCCCTCATGTGGTGCACCGTGAAAGCCTTTAAAATGCCGTCTGAGGGACTGGAGAAGAGACGCAGTATTTGGAGGCATGAAAATAACTCCTACATTGGGGTGGGCACTTTCAAGTTCTTCATGGCAATGAACTGGGGCATTATCCACAAATAAAACTTTGAAGGCTAAGTTTTCATCCTGAAGATAGTGTTCAACTTTTAGGATGAAGCAGTGAAGCCAATCCCAGAATATATTGGGCATCATCCATGCTTTTTTGTCCCACCTCCAATGGAAATGATACATACTTCAGATTTTTCCCTAGAGGTGCTCAAGAATTTTGAGCTCTGTATATCATTAAGGGTTTGCATTTAAAGGTGCCCTTGGCATTGGTATACAATAACAAGCTTGCATACTCTTTGGATGAATTAAGGTCAAGGGCATTTCACAGGTTCATATCCCAATGACCTTGTAAAAATAAGCCAGTCCCATTAGTGCTGAAAACTAGCTCTTCCATATAACCTTTCCCTGTATAACACTTTGCAGGTATTCCTCCATAGTATCTTGATCTGCAAAACTCACCTCAACTTCAAGTTTAACATGTTTCATACCACATGGCCTTAAAATGTGGAAGCCAGCTAGCTCTCACATAGCCAAGAAAGGTTTAACATTTTCCTAACCCCGATTAACCTGTTGTGGGCTGAAAGCTGTTCAGTATGCTTTTAAAAAAAAAAAAAAAAAAAAAAAAAAAAAAAAGGTCATAATCTCATGAATCCATACATTTAGTCATTACCCTATCTTTCCTTAGCTGTACCACAAACTAGAGATGTTACTATAGCAATCAGGTAGACTGGCAAATTTCCTCTTTCTTTTTCTAGATGTATGGTAATGATTCATTGATACTGAACTTACACCAAGAACATTATAACTTCATGCCTAAATGAAACTTAGTTCTAACAGTATTTTCTCCATAAGGTACATCAGAGCTTTCTTGCTCTTAGTGACACTAGACAGCACTTCAATTTAGTGACACTAGACACCACTTCCTGGCCCTTCTAAACAATAAAAATAATCAAGAAAAACCACAAAAATGCAAACAACAAAACAACCTGACACTCATTAGACTAAGAAAAGGACACCTGTTTATAGTATGAGAGCTGAAACACAAAGGCACAGCATTGCTTTGTGCTACTTCAACTGGGAACATGTACATTGGGTAACTCAAATTTCTCACCACTCTGCACATCTACAAATGCCTGTTAAAGCACCTTAAGTATTGATTTAGGGGTTACAAATACATTTTGGTGGGTAGGCAAATTTGAAATCCATGAGAATGAGGACTGACTGCACAATTCTCTCTCAGTATGTGTGGAGGATTGGTTCTAGGACCACCACCATCCGCCAAAGCCCTACCCCTACTCCTCATACCAGAATCTGTACACACACAACTCCCACAGTCAGCCTTTATAGAACTCACCCATATGAAAAGTCTGCCCTCAAATTTGCCTTGCAAATATTTTATTTTCCATCCAAGTTTGGTTAGGGAAAAAAACAAAAAAGCCATGTGGAAGTGGACAAATGCAGTTCAAATCCATGTTGTTCAAGGGTCAACTATACTTAAAGCTACCGCTGTGTGACCTCAGGCAAGTCACTCAATCTCTTATGCCTCAATTTCCACCATAGTATAATGGAGAGAATAACTCAGCAAACAGTATCTGTTACATACCAGGCATTAGGAAAGTTTGGTCTGAACTGGAAAATACTCTACATCCCAAAAGAGAGGATCTAAAGTCAGAGATGTCCTGGGACTGCTCAATGCTGCACTTCCTGCACTCTGCAAATACTACTTTATGTCAATAAACTGTGCCACTTGGTGAAAATCTACACTTGAACCCAACTTGTTTTTTAGAATGTTTTCTACTTTTTAGTCAATAGACAGGGTCCAGTTATTTGTGTATGCTGAAGTAGGACCCAAAAGAATAAAAATTATAATGACAAAAGCCACCATCTGTTGAGTATTTGCTAGACGCCAGGGACTATGAAAAGCACCAAATTCTTACTGCACACTCCTAACACCACAAAAGGTAGGACTTTTTATCACTCCCATTTTACTTACGAGGAAACTGAGACTCAGAAGTGATACAACCTGGCAAGAGGCACTGAGCTAAAAGTTCTGAAATCAGGATTCAAGTAAGATTCATCTGATGTCAAAGTTTCTGTTCTTCACTATACATACTGCCTCTATGAAGTCTGGAACAAAACAGCTATACCATGGTTTAGTATTCATCATGAGGTAGGTACTACATTCATCTTGATTTTTCAAATAAACTTACAGAAAGAACAGTGAAGTAACTTGCCCAAAATTACCCAGCTAAGCTCCTAGCCTTTGAAGTTTATGGGTGGAGAATTAGAAGATTCCAAAAGCTTACAAAGAAGAAAAGATGGGAGAGGACTTTATATGACAAAAGGCAACAGCTGCAATGGCAGCCTTACTTATCCTTCCCTATCCATAAGCTGCAATGGCAGCCTACTATCCTTCCTATCCATATGCTTCCTCTACCCTCCGCCATACAGTCCGGTTCAAGTCCCCTCTCCTATCATTAATCGCTTCCTCTTACCCTCTGCCATACAGTCCGGTTCAAGTCCTCCCTATCCATAATCGCCTCTACTCCTCCGCCATACAGTCCGGTTCAAGTCCCTCCCTATCCATAACGCTTCCTCTACCTCTGCCATACAGTCCGGCCCAAGTCCCTCCCTATCCATAACGCCTCTACTCCTCCGCCATACAGTCCGGGTTCAAGTCCCTCCCCATCCATAACGCTTCCTCTCTACTCCTCCGCCATACAGTCCGGTTCAAGTCCCTCCCTATCCATAACGCTTTATCTTATCCTCCGCCATACAGTCCGGTTCAAGTCCCTCCTATCCATAACGCTCCTCTACTCCTCTGCCATACAGTCCCAGTTCAAGTCCTTCCTATCCATAACGCTTTCTTCTAATTTCCGCCATACAGTCCGGCTCAAGTCCTCCCTATCCATAACACTTCTCTACCTCCCGCCACAGTCCAAGCCCCTGTCCTTCCCTATCAGTAACACTTCCTCTACCCTCCGCCTACAGTCCGGTTCAAGTCCCTCCCTACTAATAACTCTACCCTCTGGCCAGTCCGGTCTCTGTCCCTCCCCATCCATCCATAACGCTTCCTCTACCCTCCGCCATACAGTCCGGTTCAAGTCCTGTAGGAGGAGAAAAATATTTAATATCATGCTAATAGAAAGGGTTTCTGGTCAAACGCACACACCTTTGAAACAAGGTTGAGGAGTTGCCTTATAAATATAAGTATATAATAGGGAATAGTCATCTTTCATACCCTCAGCAGGGATGAAAGTCTCTGGTATTAAAATCAAATAATTCAAGTGAATACTTTACATACTTCCAAAATTATCTGATTTTAAAATGTTATTATTTCCATAAGGGGGCGTATGGATAGAGAAAGCAAGGAAAAAGTATTCTTACTTTTCTAGGATTCTGTCCAACTATTAACATCAAAAACAAACACTGAATAGAATAAATGCAAAAATACCAATTTTCATCTACATCAGTGATTCTCACTTCTGGTTACATATTAGAATCCTGAAGAACTTTTTTTTTTTTTTTTTTTAATGGAGATGGAGTTTCACTCTTATTACCCAGGCTGGAGTGCAGTGGCACAATCTTGGCTCATTGCAACCTCTGCCTCCCGGGTTCAAGCGATTCTCCTGCCTCAGCCTCCTGAGTAGCTGGGATTACAGGTACACGCCACCACGCCTGGCTAACTTTTTGTATTTTTAGTAGAGATGGAGTTTCATTATGTTGGCCAGGCTGGTCTCGAACTTCTGACCTCAGGTGATCCACTTGCCTTGTTGCAGGGATTACAGGCATGAGTCACTGTGCCCAGCCAGAACTTTTTTAAAATACAGAATTTCTGGGTTGGAGTCTAGGCACTGGAAGGTTTTGAAAATTTGCCGGGTGATTCTAATGAGTAGTCGGCGTTGGAACCACCGATCTGCTCTTTTGTAACATAACCAGAACTAGCCCAGAGACTTCATTGCCGATAATGACTCCTGAAGAGCTTCCCTCGGGTAAGGATACGAGCAATACCAGGACCCACCGCTGGTGACAGCTGTAAGATGCAGCAAGCCAAGGCCAGGCAGTGCCCTACCACTCTCCGGAGTGGCAAAAGCATTGCCTCTTATCTTTAGTAGTCATTAGTAACATCAACCTATAAAAACTCTTAAAATGCTGACAAAAGTAGAATTTGATATATCACACCAAAAGAAAAATAAATACGAGGAAAAAAAATCCAGGACACATTGTGTATTTCCCAAATTTTTAAACTCAAAAAATTCTAGCCACCAACATGTATCTTCAGATCTCTACTTGAAAGATAAATGCATAAAGCCATCACTGATCTGCCTCAGCCTGTTCCTTCAGCCTCATTTTCCATTATTCCACCAAAGACCCCTTCCACCTTGGCTCTAGTAAGTAGTTCTGCCAAATACACATGTGCTTAGCACTTTATTATTCTCCTATTTTTCATGCCTATCTGGCAATCTTCTACTCAACTGTTTACAGTCAGCTTATTCGTATCTTTCAGAACAAATACAGTCATTTCAAACATACTATTGCCATTGTCTTAAAGATGCATCCATTATGGAAACATCCATCAACTCAAACATCACTTATGTCTATTGTCCCACTGTGAGGAGAGGCTATAATTAACTCTCCTTTATTTCCTTGGCATGTATGACAGTCTCTGGTATTAACATAATTCAGCTGAATACTCCACTGTCTCAGTTAAGCAAAAAAAAAAAAAAAAAAAAAAAAAAAATTACTGTTATGATCACATTAAATTGGCCTAATTATTTTTTACCCCGTATTAAAAAAATCACAATTTAGCACTCCATTTCACCAATACTTACTGTCATTTTGGTTCGAGACGTCTGACAACCCTGATCTAAAAAACATAAAAAATTTAAAATAAGACAAATACTCTTTCTTCAGAATTTTCTAAATCCCTATTTCTCATTAAATTTCACTAATTTAAAACGTGACTAAAGAAAATATTTTAGACATTTTAAGAATTTCAAATTTGTATAAAGTATAGAAATATACAGGTAAATAAATTAATCCTTTTTTCCTTTTGTCCCCTCTGAAAGTATACACTGCTTTTGGGGAAATACTATTATATATTCTTAGATTTATATCTTAAAAGATATATACGTATTTTTTAAAATTACAGTTTCTAAAGGGTTTTTGTTGTTCCTCCCAACCTACTCCCTAGCAATTCGATTTGCTAAAAATAATTTGCATTTAAAATTGCAGATGATACATGATAGGCAGATGTCTATTCTTTTTAAAATGTGTGTTATAACGCTGTTTAGCTTCTACTCACTCTCAACTACACCTTGTTTTCTCAATTAGCATGAAATTTCAAAAAGACAATAAAACAAAAGCAATACATTTATAAAAACAATATACAAGGGTGCTTCAACCCAGAGAATCTACGGAATTTAAGTTGCTGTTAAGCTATCTCCAAAATCAACTATCCATTATCAGTGTTTTGGATTCAGAACTACGTAAAGACTGATTTACAGGGTTTTCAAGTTATCACCTAAATTATTACATACCATAATGCAAGTTTTCAGGTCCTTTCTGAGTTGTCATGTTGGGCTCATTTTGTTGACAGTAGAAACGCAGTAAGCAATGTTGATCACAGAAATGTTTCATTTCCCCACGCCACTGAACTCGCTCTTTAAGAGTTCCTTGAGATTTACAACAGTCACACCTTGCAGCCTTAATTTAAAAAGGAAGGTTTCAGACATTGCAAATTATTTTTGAAGATTTCCAGAAGTTTATCAGTGCTTATTGCCAAATGTGATAAAACTGTGAGTGATAAAGAAAAACAGAACTATAATATAAATCATTTATAAACAGTAAAATGTACAATAAGTAAAAGTGGAAAAAAAAAAAAAGAAACAATTTCTCAATTGACAAAGTTCCATCCTATACTTACCAGGAGCCAAAGACCAGCATCACAAAGGTAGGATAACTAAATACATATTGGTAGACCAAATCAATGTATTTTAATGTCTTTAAATACTTTTGAGGGCCATATAATATACTGGTAGAATCGTCTCCTACCATTATATTGAACATTTACGAGTAATGAACGGATTTCCCAGGTTTGTTGTACAAGACAAAGGTAATTTTGAAGCAAGCTCTTATGATGGGAAATTTATGGATGTTAACTTGAACTATTTCAGTTTTTCAACAGTTTAATATAAATTTGAAAAGCTTTAATAAATAAATTTATTTAATTTTAGTAACAAGAACTTTGAGTTCATGTTTTTAAACACTCAATGTTTAAATGTTCTGAAAACCAGTAATATCAATAAGACAAGCGATTTGACCTACATCTAGGAAAACAATCAGCCCAATGGGTCCACAACTTAACTTGCAATACCAAAAAATGATACAAGAAAAACAAATTAAAATTCACAGAATGTACTTTATTTTGGTGAATCAATAATCTTGAGACAGATTTTTGTTTTTTAGGATCTTAATTTCCCTAGATTTTGCCCATTTTCACTATTTCTTTTTTTTTTTTTTTTGAGACGGAGTCTCGCTCTGTCGCCCAGGTTGGAGTGCAGTGGCGCAATCTCGGCTCACTGCAAGCTCCGCCTCCCGGGTTCCGGCCATTCTCCTGCCTCAGCCTCCCGGGTTCCCGCCATTCTCCTGCCTCAGCCTCCCGAGTAGCTGGGACTACAGGCGCCCGCCACTGCGCCCGGCTAATTTTTTCTATTTTTAGTAGAGACGGGGTTTCACCATGGTCTCGATCTCCTAACCTTGTGATCCGCCCGCCTCGGCCTCCCAAAGTGCTGGGATTACAGGCGTGAGCCACCGCGCCCGGCCCCATTTTCACTATTTCTTAACATCTTGACTAATGAGTGTGAAGAAAATATAAACGATATATCTTCAAATACAGAAAAATGATATAATTTCAAATACAGTTCTTTTCATAATTTAAGTTTCTGGTCTAGAAATGAACTACTATTATTTTTTTCAATTACCCTTTGGCTTACCAGCTTTGAAATTTTGACAAAGTAATAACTGTTAAGTATTTTGCAGTTCATAATAATTGTGGCTACAGCTTTCCCTTTATTACTCTAATCTAGAGTTTTACATTGCGGATTTTGAAATTTCTCACGTTACAATTTCAACAGGAATTCTACAAATGCCACGTCAAAATTCCTGGTCAGGAATATTAACAAATGACTATGTTGACAAACAGGTCTTACATAACAAACATACCCCAAGGTTAGAACACAGGCTCTTTTTATTTCTCCAGGTCAGGTATTTCTCCTGCTGAATAAATGTTAAGTGAATGAAGATTTATAGTACAAATTATGACTACTAAGTGATGCCAATATCACGACTCTTGTCCAAAAACTTGTGAATACAAATTTTGTACTGCTGATGGTATTATATGATCATCTCACTAACAACAGCACTTAATATCAACCAAGATCATAATTTCACTCAATAATAAAAAAGTCCCTCTGTTAAATTCTCACCAGCGAGACTGTTCTTCAAAATAACCATAGAATTGTTCCAGGGTTTCTTTTCTTTCTTTCAGTTTCTTTTTCCCTTTTTATAATTTATGCTCAAAAAAAGAGACAAAGCATAAAGGAAAGAAATGGAAGCTTAATACTTTATTCATTGATTCTGAACAGCGCAAGAACCAAAAGTAGAGTTACAGCCTGACTACATTGTTCACTGAGAACCTGAAATAAGAGCCAAACCCGTTGTATCTTCTCTCTATAAATCTTCACAACAGCCCCGCAAAATGGGTACTGCAAACTAAGATCTAAAAAGATTAAATAACTAAGGTCAAATATTAAAAATGCAGAGATGGGATTCAAAAGGCAGACAACCAAGTCAAAACCTAGGCTTTATCCTGTACACTAAGCAATAAAGACAAAATGAGTTACTATAAATGACTAGAGAATAAATATCCTAACACAACACAAATAAAATGCTATAAGAAGATTCTCGATTTAACCTTTAAAATAGAAATCTGTATTAATTCAAATCATTACACGTACTATGCTGACTCTTAGTAGTAGTACTGCCATTTATACAATAATTTGGAAGATCAACGGCATAAAATCAAACACATTCCACCTAAAGAATTTGAACAATGGAATCACTTCATCGTTCTACAATCAGACACTTGGTTTTTATAGAACCAATACTTGAAGCTCCCTTCTTCTTTTAAAGGTTCAAAACAAATTTAGATAATTTCCCTCTACCCAAAGAAAAAAGGGGCAAGATTAACACCAATTTACAAATGTAAACAAAATAGGCATGTATTTTTTCAGCCTGAAAAAATAGTGAGAACTCAATACTAATAATTCCAAGTTTAAGGCCACAATCAAAATTTTGGAGGTTGTGAACTTTTGTTTCTTTTACATCCACTTATGCAAACTCCTAGTAAAATGTTTGGAATTCAGTTAAAATATGATGGCCAATTTAAAAAGATCATTAATGATCATCATTCCTTACCAACACCAATACAACTCCACTCCAAGATGCATTCCCTAGCCATTTGCAAAAAATAACTACTAAGACGCCATTAAAAATGAAATAAATGGGACATAAGTCTCTGGTTTTAAAA